GCAATGAACAGTAAGCTGGAAAAAGCAGAGGAATGAATTAGTGACCTAGAAGACAATATAATGGAAAATAATGAAGCTGAATCAAAGATAGAATTATGGAACATGAGAATAGACTTACGGAACTCAAAGACTCCATCAAATGTAATAACATTTCTATTATAGGAGTCCCAGAAGAAGAGAGAAGAAGGGGGGGGTGGGGAGAATTTATTTTAAGAAAAAATAGCAGAACTCTCCCTAAAACTGGGGAAGGAAAACAGATCTCTAGATCCAGGAGTCACAAATAACTCTCATCAAAGTCACCAAAAGAAGGACAACCCTAAGACATTGTAATGAAATTTGAAAAATATAGTGATAAAGAAAAAAATCTTAAAAGGAGCAAGACAAAAGAAGTCATTAACTTATAAGGGAAAACCCATAAGGATAGCTGAAGATTTCTCAACAGAAACTAGGCAAACCAAAAGGGAGAGAAATGATATATTCAAAGCGCTGAATGGGAAAAATCTGCAGCCAAGAATACTTTATCCAGCAAGCTATCATTGAGAATAGGAGAGATAGTTTTCCAGACAAACAAAAACTAAAGGAATTCATGACCACTAAACCAGCCCTGCAAGAAATACTAAAGGGGTCTCTTTGAGTGCAAAGGAGAGAACAAAAGTGACAAAGATAAGATAGGATCAGAGAAAACCTCCAGAAACTATGAAAAAAACAAGTAATAAAATGGTAATAAATACATATCTATTAATAATTCCTTTGAGTGTTGGGGCACTTGGGTGGCTCAGCCTGTTAAGCATCTGACTATGGCTCATGATCTCATGGTTCATGAGTTTGAGCCCCACATCTGGCTCACTGCTGTCAGTACAGAGCCCGCTTTGTATCCTCTGTCTCCTTTCTGCCTGCCCCTCCCCCACTTTCACTCATTCTCTCAAAAATAAATAAATTTTAAAAAATAATTACTTTAAATGTAAACGATTTAAACACTCCAATCAAAAGACATAAGATGTCAGAATGGATTTTTTTAAAAAAGACCCATAAATATGCTACCTACAAGATATTCATTTTAGACCTAAAGACACTTGCAGATTGAAAGTGAAGGGGTGGAGGGAGTGCTTGGGTGGCTCAGTCAGTTAGGCGTCCGACTTCAGCTCAGGCCAGGATCTCAGAGCTCATGAGTTCAAGCCCAGAGTCAGGCTCTGTGCTGACAGCTCTGGGCCTGGAGCCTTGCTTTGGATTCTCTGTCTCCCTCGCTCTCTGCCCCTCCCCCATTCCTTCAAAAATAAACATTAAAAAAATTCTTTTAAAAAGAAAGTGAGGGGGTGGAGAAACATTTATCATTCAAATGGATGCCAAAAGAAACTCAGAGTAGCAATACTTGTATCAGACAACCTAGACTTTAACACTAAGACTGGAAAAGAGGCAGAAAAGGGCATGATGTTAATCATAAAGGGGACAATCCAAAAAGCAGGCATAACAATTGCAAATATTTATGCACCCAAAATAGAACAATCCAAATGTATAAAACAATTAATAACAAACAAAAAGGAACTAATTGGTAATAACACAATAATAGTAGGGGACTTTAACACCTCACATACATCAATGGGCAGATCTAAATAGAGAATCAACAAGAAAACGATGACTTTGAATGACACACTGGACTGGATGTCCTTAACAGATATATACAGAACACTCCTTCCTAAAATAGCAAAACATACCTTCTTTCCAAGTGCACATGGAACATTCTCCAAAATAGATCACCTATTATATCACAGATCAGGCCTCGATAAATACAAAAAGGTCAATTTCATACCATACCTCTGACCACAAGGCTATGAAATTAGAAGTCAAACTCAAGAAAAAATTTGGGAAGACCACAACTACATGGAGGTTAAATAACATGCCACTAAAGAATTACTGAGTCAACCAGGAAATCTAAAAATACATGGAAACAAATGAAAATGAATATACATGGGCCAAAATCTTTGGAATGTAGCAAAAGTGGTTCTAAGAGGTAATTTTACAGCAATACACGTCTACCTCAAGAAGTAAGAAAAATCTCAAACAACCTAACCTTACCTAAAGGAGCTAGAAAAAGGAAAACAAACAAAGCCTAAAGCCAGCAGAAAAAGGGAAATAAAAAAGATTGGAACAGAAATAAAATGATATAGAAACTAAAAGAAACAATAGGACAGACTGATGAAACCAGGAGCTGATTCTTTGAAAAAAAATTAATTAAATTGATAAAGCTCTAGCCAGGCTTATCAAAAAGAAAAGAGAAAGGACCCATATAAATAAAACCACAAATGAGAGAAGAGAAATAACAACCAGTACCACGGAAATACAAACAATTTTAAGAGAATATTATGAAAAACTATATGCCAACAAATTGGACAACCTGGAAGAAATGGATAAATTCCTAGAAACATAAACTACCAAAACTGAAAAAGGAGAAAATAGAAAACTTGAACAGACTGATAACCAGCAAAGAAATTGAATCAGTAATCAAAAATCTCCCAAAACACAATGGCTTCATAGGTGAGTTCCACCAAACATTAAAGAAGAGTTAATATCTTTTTTCTCAAACTATTCCAAAAAATAGAAATGGAAAGAAAACTTCCAAATTCATTCTATGAGGCCATCATTACCCTGATACCAAAGCCAGACAAAGACTCCACTAAAAAAGAGAACTACAGACCAGTATCCCTGATGAACACGAATGCAAAAATTCTCAACAAGATACTAGTAAATCAAATCCATCAGTACATTAAAAGAATCATTCACCACAATCAAGTAGGATTTATTTTTGGGCTGCAAGTGTGGTTCAATATTCACAAATCATATCAATCAATGTGATACACCACATTAATAAAAGAAAGGATAAGAACCCTATCTATTGAGAACCCTCTCAACAGATGCAGAAAAAGCATTGGACAAAATACAACATCCATTCATAATAAAAACCCTCATCAAAGCAGAGCAAGAACATAAGAAAGGCTGTATATGAACAATTCACAGCCAATATCCTCAGGCGGGAAAAACTGAGAGCTTTTCCTCCATGATCAGGAACAAGGCAGGGATATGCACTCTCACCAATGTTATTTAACACAGTACTGGGAGTCCTAGCCTTAGCAATCAGACAACACAAAATTATAAAAGGAATCCAAATCTGCAAGGAATTCACCAGTTACAGATGACACAATATTCTATATAGAAAACTCAGAACACTCCACCAAAAAATTGCTAGAACTGGTAAATGAATTCAGTAAATGAATTTGCAGGATACAAAATCAGTGCACAGAAATCTGTTGCATTTCTATACAATAATAATGAAGCAGGAGAAAGAGGAATTAAGGCATCAGTCCCATTTACAACTGCATCAAAAACAATAAGATACCTAGGAATAAACCTAACCAAAGAGATGAAAGACCTGTATCCTGAACACTATAAAACACTGACGAAAGAAATTGAAGATGATGCAACGAAATAGAAAACATAGGTAGATATGCCTTTTCAAATACTGCTTGTAGTATCTTTCTGCAAAGCACTTTGACAATTTGTATCAAAAGCATTACAAATGTCAATGTCCTTGAACTCATTAGTTTCATTTATAAAATTAACCCCAGTGAAATCATCCGAAAAGACACAATGGTTTATATATACAGATGTCTATTATAGCATTATTCATAGCAGAAAACTGGAGATGGCCTAAATGTGGAATGGAGAATTATTTAAGTAAATGCCAAAAGACGGAATATTTTTGTAGCCATTAAATATTTAATGTAGCCAAAAATATTTAATGACATGATATGGGCAAATAGTATAGTATTAAATCTAAAAGTCATGAAAAAATACTCTATATTCTGGTGTACCAATTTTTGAACACATATTTGTACATAAAAAAAAGACTAAAAAAGTGAAAATAATGTTATGTATTGAAATTAAGATTTTTTAATGCTTTTAGTATTTTATAAACTTCATATAGTTGGTATCAATTAACACATTATTGTTAATTAACACATATTGTTAACATTTTCTTCAAGTAATTAACTAAGGCAATCATTAGTCTTAGTCTTTTCTGATTTTCAAATCAATTTTGAGCAGGATAAAAAGTATATCACAGGCCTCAGTTAATAATCCGAAGATTCAGCAAAGTGCCATTGATTAGCACCAGGATTCCATGTACCTTCCAAGTCAGCTTCACTATACCAGTCTTGACAGATTGTGTGTGTGTGTGTGTGTGTGTGTGTGTGTGTGTGTGTGTGTGTAGTACTACCTGCTTTCCAAGTTTTGAATGCCACTTAAAAATATCATTGATCTGCCCCTGCCTCCATATTAATCTTCTGTTATGAACCTGAGACATTCCTCAAATTGCCTTACTCTTGGTAAGTGTTAATTCCAACAGTAGTCTCCAAACATTTGATCTCATAACCCTATCTATAAAAATCATTTGAACACACAACTCTACTAGCCTTATATTTATTTTTAAATGTGTATGTATTACTGTTAATATACTATATAATATAAATTATTCAAAAATTTAAAAAAAGAACATGATAAAAAATATAAATGGAAGTTCTAGCATTTTGTCCCTAAACCTTAATGGATCATTTTAAAACTCCCAAAGATATAGGGCCCTGCTATGGAGATCACAGCCATAGACCACACTTTCTACTCCCACTACCCATTTTATTGCCACACTGCGTCTAGAGCCATGTTGTGAAATTCCAGAATGCCTTAAACTTGAGTTAATTCAAACTATCACAATATTCATAACAGAGCTCACTTGTACTATGGAAGAATCATGTCCTTCCTATGCCCTATTTTCTCTTGGCAAAATCTGGATTTTTATGTATAAAACACTGCATACAGTATAGTACAACTATGTTTATATTATTGTTGTTGTCATCTTTTGATAATGATTACTACTACTATGCCTGTGACCACTTTACAGGTATAAGTAAGTGATAATATTCTTTAGTTCTTTTAGATGTTTCAGTATATACCTCTGCAGATTTTTGAAGGTTTTCATGGCATGGAGCAAGAAGGGATGCTTTCTCCCATTTCTGTGCAACTTGATTGGCTTCTTCTATCTTCTGATCACAACTTTTTTGAGAATTTAGCAATGTCAACTCATAAAATTCTTGAATATCTGTGAAAATATTTAAGGCAAGGATCAAATGTCATGTACCATCACAAAAATTGCTTCTGCATATATGTATATATGAAAAAATTTGCTAATTAAAAGAACTACATACACATGATCCCAAAGAACAATAACAAAAATAAGGAAATCATTAAAACTGCATTTTTATCTGCATGAGAATTCTTATAGGAGCTATATTCATAATTGCAAAAGCTGGAAGCAACCAAGATGACTTTCAATCAATGAATAGATAAAATATAGTAAATTCATATTCAATGATAAGGAGGAATGAGGTATCAAGTTAAGCAAAAAACATAGAAGATTCTTAAATGCTAAGTTTAAAAAGCCAGTCTGAAAAGGCTACCTCTTGTTTGAGTTAACTTATATAATATTTTAGAAAAAGCAAAATTAAAGAGGCAGTAAAATTATCAGTGATCACTAGAGGTTCTGGGAGTGGGGAGGAGGATTAAATAGATAAAGCACAGGGTGATGAAAATATTCTGTAATGATATGGCAGTAGTGGACACCTAACAAGAAGCATTTGTCAAAGCCCATAGAACATTACAGCACAGAGAGTAAACCTTAATGTATGCAAATTTTTAAAAATAATTTTGGAGGTCAGGGAATCCCAAGATGAAACACAGATTAAGACAAAAGAATCTAATTGTATTACAAATGTATGAAACAACCTCCCTGAAGGCAGTAGGAGAAAAAGGTGTCCTACAAATGAGTAGAAATTGTAAAACCAAAGACAAAGGAATTATTACAAAAGAACCCTCTCTATTTTCTAGTTGGTAAATTTGTTTCCCATGGAATAGTACAAGTTAGGAACTTTGGAACCACTGTACATATATACTAGAATTGAACAGTTAAATGGATGCAGGATGGTGGGCACCAGGTTTCTCACTATTGGAGTAGGGGGTTACAAACAAGTACGTGGAGACAGGTGGGGAGTAGGGTACTAGAATGATCTATATGATTTTGGATTCGATTGGAAACATCAGTATAAACTCTTTTTTAGCTTAATATGGGTACAAATGAATACATATAGAAATATTTGCAGATGTGTATGTACAAAGTTTAGTACACACACAGATGTTTTCTTAATCAATATGCTGAAAGGACCTGGAATTAATGAAACCCCAGTAAGAATAAGCACAATTAATATCCAGACTTTGGCCTCTATATAGCATTCTCCGCTATATAGAATATATATATCAAAGAATAATGAATAAATAAAGTAGTACTGGATTAGAATTGAGGCTATGTGTATAAATTCAAAAATTTTAAAAGGAATGGAAGGAAGGAAGGAAAAAAGAGGAAGGAAGAAAGAGGACAAAGGAAGAAAGAGGAGGAAGGGTAAAAGGGAGAAAAGGAGTGAGACAGATACAGAAAACTATGATTGGAAATAAAAATGATTATGTATCTATATGTTTCCTAGTTCTATTATACATTTGTAGGCTGAGAGGGCAGAGCGGGAAAAACAATTCAAGAGCAAGTACACCTAGGCCCCAGATCTTGGTTTCAGTAAAGAAATCAGGGCTTCTTAAGTTAAAAACTCAATTGATGGGTTAAACAGCAGATTGAATAAAGTAGAACTGGAAAATATTCCCAAAGAAATTACCCAGAATTCAACATAAGAGAAGATGAAATAGAACATATGAAATTATAATTTGAATGTATAAAGAATGGATAAGAAAGCGAAGTATTTTTCTAATAGATATCTTTGGGGAGAAAATAGGATAAATAACAAGTCCTAGTTAAAGAGACGATAGATATAAAATTTCTAGAACTTATGAAAATATGAATTCACAGATACTGAAAGTAAGAACTTACACAAAAGAGAATAAACAAAAGCTATGTACATACCATAATAAAATTGCAGAATACCAAAGACAATGCAAGGATCTTAAAATCAGAGAAAAAAGACTAATCAGACTTCTCAAAAGCAATAATGGAAGCCAGACAACAGTAGAATAAAAACTTAATTTTTTTTTAGAGAAAATAAATATGAGCATAGAATTATGTTCCTTTGCAAATCATATATCTGATTTAAAAAAAAAACTTTGGGGCACCTGGGTTGCTCAGTTAGTTGAGCGTCCGACTTTGGCTCAGGTCATGATCTCATTTTGTGGGTTTGGGCCCCGCATCAGGCTCTGTGCTGCTTGCTCAGAGCCTGGAGCCTGCTTCAGATTCTGTGTCTCCTCTCTCTGCCCCTTCCCCGCTCATGCTTTGTCTCACTCTGTTTCTCAAAAATACATAAATGTAAAAAAAAATTTAAAAAAAACCTTATTTCCAGAGCATGTAAAGAATGCTCAAAACAATAAGACACCAAGCAATCCAATAGAAAAATGGCCAAAAGATTTGAACAGGCACTTCACTAAAGAAAATAATAGAAATAACAGATGGCCAAAAAAAAAAAAACAAAAAAACCCACATGGAAAGATTCAACATCATTGGTCACTAGGGAAATGAAAAATCAAAACCACAATGAGATACCACTATTTATTTATTAGAATGGCTAAATTAAAAACACCGATCATACCAAGGATTGATGGGGATGTGAAGGAACTGGAACTCTCATGACACTGATACTGAAAATGAAAAATGTTATAACCACTTTGAAAAACAGTTTTTCAGTTTCTTAAAAAGTTAAGCATACAACTACTGTATGATCCAACCATTCATGTTCTAGGTATTATCTAAGAGAAAGGAACACATATATGTCCCTATGAAAAGTCAAATCTGGAAACAACCCAAATGTTTGTCAATAGATGAATGAATAAACACATTGTGAAATATCCATACAGTAAAATACTGTTCAGCAATAAAAAGTAACAAACTATTGATACACACAACATAGATGAATCTCAAAATAATCAAGTGAAAAAAGTCAGACAAAAGTGAGTGCATGTTTTATACCAGTTAAAAATATTCTAGAAAATACAAATTCTATATTGACAGAAAAAAAAATTCAGTGGTGCCTAGGAATGAGGGTTGGGGTGAAGGCTGGCAGGAACAGGTGAGTGGGAGGGATTATCAAGGGACAAGAGGAAACTTTAAGCAGCAATGTATATGGTTACTATCTTGATTGTGCTAATAGTTGCACTAAAATATACATATTTCAAAACATATTAAACCATGCACTCCACATGTGTAGTTTATTATGTATCAATTACACTTCAATAAAGAAAGTGAAAAAGACAAGATATGAATTTAGAGGAGACAGTTTCATCACACATAGGCAAAGGAACAGTATCTACATATGCAAAGCCCAACAAATCAAAAAGGAAAAGACATATAAGTGAAAAGGAAGAAAAATGGGTCAAAAGTATGAACAGGCATTTCACAGTGAAGGAAATGTACATCACTGATAAAAATAAAAAGATATAGGGGCACTTGGATTGCTCTTCAGTTAACTGCCCAACTTCAGCTCAGGTCATGATCTCATGTTTCGAGAGTTCAAGCCTCATGTCAGGCTCTGTGCTGACAGCTAAGACCCTGGAGCCTGCTTCAGATTCTGTGTCTCCCTCTCTCTCTGCCTCTCCCCCACTTGTGCTCTCTTTCTCTCTCAAAAATAACTAAACATTTAAAAAATTAATAAAAAAGAAAAAGATATGGATCAATAGAAACTTTTATTTATTCCTGATGAGTGGAATTGCTATAACTACTTAAGAAAATAATCTTATCTTGTAAAATTGAACATTTATTTCTCCTATAATCTAGCATTTCTACTACCCAGTACACATCTTAAATGAACTCTTGCACATATGCACCAGGAAACAAACCAAAATTTTCATAGTAGCAGAGATCATAATAGCAAAAAATTATGAACCAGTCCAATGTCCATCAAAAGGAAAATGATTAAATGTGGCATATTCTCAAAATAGAATTTATGCAGTAGTGAAAATGAATAAATTCCAGTTATCATGAAATTACATGAATAAATCTTGAAAACAATGCTCAATGATGAAAGCAAGTCTCAGCATAAAAATATTTTTGTAAAGTTCACAAACACACAAAACTAAACTATATATGTATTTTTAGGCATACATATATACATATGTGAAGAAATATTTACACCAAAACAAAGAAGCACATGAAAAGATATAATTACCTCAGCAGAAGGGGTGGGCAAGAAAATGGGGTGAGGGAGGAACACAGGTAGATGCAAATAGCAATGGTCAAGTTCTAGATTTGGGTTGTGATTCCAGAAATGCTTATTGTTTTATTATGCTGCATATATTATCTATAAATCACACATATTCTCTTGTATGTATTATATATTTTTAAATAACAAAAATTTTAAGTGTTTCATAAATAGCAAGATTTACATAGAAAACTTAAAAATACTCAAATTTTACGCCGAGTTACAACTTTATTTTGCCACTGGCAATAAAGTAACTGTGAAGTCAGCTTGGAAAATGTGTAAGAACAAAAGATAAAAAGAACAAATAATATTAAAAATTTCATGAAACCACAAAAGACCCAAAATAGCCAAAGGTATTGTGAGGAAGAATAATAGCTGTGGGTCTCACAATCTCAAATTTCAAGATATATTACAACACTATAGTAATCAAAACAGTATGGCACTGGCACAAAACTAGACACAGACTAATAGAATAGGATAGAGAACCTAAAAATAAATCCACACTTATATGGTCAATTAATCTATGACAAAGGAAACAAGAACATACAATGAAAGACAGTCTCTTCATTCACTGGTGTTGGGAAAACTGGACAGTTACATGAAAAGAATGGAATTGGACCACTTTTTTACACCATACACAAAATAAACCCAAAATGGATTAAAGACCTAAATATAAGACCTGAAACCATAAAACTCCTAAAAGAAAACATAGGCAGTAATCTCTTGGACACTGGCCTTAGCAACATATTTATGGATAGGTCTACATCAGGAAAAGTAAACAAAAGCAACATAAACTATTGCAACTACCAAAATGAAAAGGTTTTGCATAACAAAGGAATCCATCAACAAAATGAAA